ACATTGCTGACTGTTATTTGAGTAAAATTCCGTTTCACCAGTGAATAATTAACCATAAATAACCAGGCTTTTCTGCTGCTGTTCCTGTTTGATGCTTCCATTCAATTAAATCCTGATCAAAAGTCTTCTCTGAAAGTTACCCTGTGCCTTAATTCCTTCAGCAGTTGTCTTCCTTTCCTCTTTCTGTCATCATCAGTCATCTCCCAGATGTAAGACACCATTAGGGAAGAGAAAGGAAAACAAAGAGGGATGTAGGATAGTGTAGTAAAATTAACAGAGCAGAAGGAAAAGGGAAAAGATGGACTGAAGGATATGGACAGAAAATTGGAGAGTGGGGAAAAAAAACAGGAAGACGGGGTAAATCAGTGTGAAATGCAGAGCTGAGCATGAAAGGGGGAAAGAAGGAAAAAGAAAGAAAGACTTGGGGAAAACACCATAGCTATAGACAGCATAAAGAGCAGACAATAAGAAAAAACAGACAAAGACGAGGCAGAAAACAAAGGAGATTAATCAAGTCCAAAAAAAACCAAACCCCTGGGGAGATGATCTCTATCAGATACAAGGGGTGTTTTTAACCAAAATTGGAGATACACCACATAATGGGGAACACTACAGACCAGAGCAGAGGGTGTGTGACAATAAACAGAAAAAATATTTTTTAAATAAATGAGCACAGAGTGAATAGAGCAGTTGTGCTGCTGTATACTCTAAACAAGAAAGGGGTTATATGTTATATGAAACACCACTAATCAGGTGTTTCTCTATGACTTAAAAGGTAAGCAGGACACTGAAAGGCATTATCATAAAACTAAGAGCTGCATTATGGTGGTTTTTTTCTAGTATATGCTCTTTGATAAGTCTATGTGTTACAGTATATTGAATAACAATACTAAAACTAGCAGAGCTCTGCTGTCACCACGAAACGTAAAATAAATGCACATTTGGGTATACTGCTACTGACTGCTTCTTTCAGCCTTTTGCCAAGCTGTGGTGTGCCCCATTCTTGCTAGTCATTATAAATATTTTTAATGGAAATGGAATACATAACAAAAGATCTGATATTATTGTTTTATGAGGCACTGCTTACACCTCATGCTTAGTTGGGTTCATTTTATTACATAAAGGATATTATTGTACAACATAATGGAGTACGTGGGATAAATTCAGCTTTTGAGATAATTTCTTAGGAGGAATTGCATGTTGGCAGGTGCCTTGATCTCAAGTGAGGCACCCATGTGCATCTGAATGTAGAATATTCCCCAACAAAAAGAAATGTGTAAAGTAGCCAAACAAAATCCTTCAAAATGTTGTCAATTTGACAACATATACTTGGTTCTTATGGTGCTTTCAATGCTTGGTGCTTGGTTATTATCATCATGGGTATCTTGTGTAAGGGAAAAAGATACAGTGACTTGACAGAAGGTACTTACGGAAGTCAGATGCAAAGCCAGAAATTATACCATGAATTAATAACATTGGCTTTCTTTAAAACTCTATTAAAAGTCTAAATAGCTCCAAAACTTCTGGGGCTTACACATGGATTTTCTGTCACTCATGTCTACTAGTTTACTAATCTAACCAGGAAAAACAGTGGTCTAGCTTTTTTAGGGACAGGTGCTAGCTTCCACTTGTAGCATCCTCTTTAAAGACTGTTTTGAAAGGACAGCTAGCCCCTCCAGACACCTGGCTGTTCTTGGGAAAAGGGATGTCTATTGCCAATCTCTTTTTCTGGGTGGACATGGCACAACAGTGGGGCTTTAAGCATAGTTATGTATTTGAGCAATAGGTAACATTTGCTTGTGAATGCAGTGCATGCCCTTACAGGCATTTCCTAGCTCCTCCTTGGCAAATGCAGCAGGCCAGATGGAACTGTTCCTTGGGCTGCCAGTTGGACCACCCTGGTTTGTACCAAACAGGATTTTAAAAAAACCCAAGGGGATGGAAAAAGTCTGAAAATTAGCAACTAAAAATAAACAGGAAATGAAGGCAGAACTGTTTCACATGAAGTGCCATAAGTACAAGAAATAGAATTGTTCAGTTAAAAATTATCAAAATTCTCTACATGAGAATTTAAGTAAAAACACTGTGAACAGTGAAAATAATGCCAGGGCAGAAGGGAAAGGAACTATGTTTAAACAAAAAATCCTAAACAACCACAGCTACAACAATGCTATCACTGCAACCACACATGCATATCTCTGATGTGAGGCAAAAGAATGTGCCCGAAGTATGGGATTTTGAAGGTCTGAAACATGTTAACTTTAACAAGGTTCCTGTAACCTCCTTTGGAATTCCTTTCTTGTTGCTATGGTCTGTAGCTTGAATATTTTATTTTTTTCCTTTAAGTAACAGCTTTGAGATATTAAGAATAAGGCTGAGAACATCGTGGAAGTTTGCATTCTATCATTTGTACTGCATAAGCATGAGCAATTAAATAGGAGAATTCTGCAATGTTACTGAATAATAAAAACAACAAGAAAACTTTACTAGTTATCCAGGATCAGTTCTTAGGATCTAATGCATATTTTTGTTTCCAGATGGATGTAAGACTGTTGGTCTGGGAAGACGTTATTTTCAATAAGCATTATTTAATGGAAACATAATGCCAAAGAGAAATAGCACCACCTACAATTTGATAGTACTGTTTAACACTGAAAAAGTAAGAAGAATCTTCAAAAAAATCCAGGGTACAATTCTCTATTGCCATGACGAAACCTAGGTGGTCTACACATGACCTTTTCCTTCTGCAGGTTCTGCTGCTGCACAGAGATACGAAACTGCTTTCTGCCCATTTCGGGTAACACTCACACCAGCAAAACATAATACAGAACGTACAAACAGACATTATTTACACATGCATCATGTATGCTAATGTTAGGATATTGAGTTAAACACTACAATACTTTCAGTATTTCACTCATCTTGAAACCTTGAGACACTAAAAGCTGTGTTTTCTAATTTTGAAGTTTTACACAAATGCGGGCCCTGAAGCACTTTCATTATCTAAACAGTTCCCCAAAAAATTTAAACACAGTGAAGCACAATCAAGCCTTATCAGATAGATTATTAAGTAGGACTTGCTAGGATACTTGAACTGCTAACCAAAACAACATATGCAGCACATGTTCATGCAGCAGACTGGGAGCCTTAAAAAGTCTTCCTGCTCTGCAAGGTGAATTCCACTGAGTAACACTTGGTTCTGGGGAGGGGTGGCAGGGAAACATCAACAATAAGGAGATATTCCTTTTCTGCAGGACACATGCAAAGCATCCAGGGCAGCAAACGGGAGAAGTACCGCTTCAGAGTTCTTTGGATTTGGTGAACTCCCCCTACAGTTAAGTCCAAGAACAGTCAGAATCTTTGGTATTTCCACAGCATCTCCAAATCAGCACTTTTTTAGGTGGCTCTCTCTGAAGTGGCACCATAGAAATGACCTCTCAGTGTTGTGCATGTGTACCAAAGCTCATAAATTTGCAGGTGAAAGAGCACTAGGTGTTTTTTGGGGAGTTCTTTTGTTTGTTGGGGGGGTGGGGTTTTTTTTGGGTTTTTATTTTAAGTCCCAGTGCTACAAGTATAATCTGAAAATGATACTATATTTTTCTGGTTCACTCTGCCTTACAAGTACTGACAATATTTCCATATTTAGAATTTAAAATACTGAGGAGAAAACAGTAATTCAATACAAGAGAGGCTGGTTAGCAAAGAGGACATCATAAGACCATAAAAGATGGAGGGTAGAAATTGCATCCTGCTTTAGTTAGCAGGCCACCTTCCTTTCTTTTGCTACAGAAGTGCCACTACACTTTAATATTCTAAAACTATAATGCACAAGATAGAGCACAAAGTGCTCTGGTTTTATTTCCTGGGCATGTTTTTCTGCCTTTCAAATTAAGCAACACAGAAGGGTCTTTACTGAAAGACCTTGGGGCAGATTCTTAGTCGGTAGAAATTATCATTACTAAAATCAACAGAGACATGATGGTTTCAAACAGCTTTCGAGCCTCCTCTTCTGTTTTATGAGCAAGTCTTGAATGTGGCCATTAAAGGCCATCACAGAATTTCCATGCCTCAGACATCAAGGACAAAAATATGCCTCCACTACAGGTTCTGGCAAATGTGCTACTGGTTTTAATGAAGCTCAGCTATTTCTTACTTAATTGTTAGAGCATGGACTCTTCAAAAGCTTAGAATTTTTCAGTTTTTCTGAAACTTAGAAATTTTTGATCTCTTAGAGAAGTAATGAGCTGTGTTTTCCTTTTCCCAAATTTAAAACCTACATTAATACAATCAATAAGTAAATGAATCAACCTATTAATTTAACATTTCTGGGTTTGGTTTTTTTTTTAGTAACACACAGTCTTTACTCATTTACTAAGAATTATAGACAGGACAAGACCAGGATGTCACCATTCTTAATATGATCTATAGCTCAGAGTTCACACCAGAGTTCAACAAGTCTTGATTACTACCTACAGATATTTCATTTAATAAAAGAAACAAGCATACATTTTCTCCATATACAACACTACTGTAATAAATGTTCCTTCTACAATATCTATACTTCCATAGTTTCTTTAAAATTCACTCTAATATTACTCCACAGATTATTGTAATAGGAATTAGATAACAAAATCAAATGTAGGTTACCACTGTGCAGGGCAACATATAAATACACATAAAATACACATGGAAAATTAACTTCCAAGGCTCTTAAAAGAGTAGAGATATATTAAATTTTTTTAAATAATGAAGGTTCTTAAAATAATTGTAATCAACTTTCTGTTTTATTATGTATCTCATTAGAGTATTATCAGTGTAATCAGTAAATTTCCAAAAGCTCAGTGATTCAGACACTGCTTTATGCTTGCCACCATTTGAAAATAAAATTAATTTTGATACACATTTTATCAGAAACTCAATACAGGTCCCACAAATAGAGTTCTGTAGCAATGCTCATAATTTTTAGGGTCTACTAAAGTTTTTTAGTGAAAACTAATTACTCATTCTCAGTATGAAACATCGATGGAGTTGGCGGTAGAATCATACTTGGGTTGCAGCACTCCTTGCCCTCTCAGCCAAAATTCACACAGCCAAGGGTGCTGGCTACCTGTAAAACAGTGATATCATCATTTCCAATTGTCTCCTTTCTAAAGACATGTAAACAAAATCATAGCATCAACCAATACAGCTCTTTGCAAAGCTGTAATTCCACAAGCAAAGCAAATTCAAGAAATAGCAACTCCAGAATATTTCACATTTTGAAAATGCAAAGCTATACCTGTGAAAAAGAAGGCATTTTTATCATTCACTTGAACAAGACTATTTGAGTATTCCCACACTTGTGACATATACTGATCCAACAAAACATCAGTTTTTTTTCCATTAGGTCAATAATAAATATTCCACAATGTTTATGTACATGCAGATCATAAAACATTAAACCTATATGTAAAAGCACAAAATCTCTCCTTTTTTATTGATTTATGTTAAAAGAGTTATTCAGATCATTTGATACCAATGAAAAATTCATTTTGATCACAAGTAACAGTTCAATAATCTAAACTGCAGTACTACAGTTCTTTTCTAGTTTGTAGATCGCCATACACCATGACTCTGCCTTACATGCCAGATGACACAATGAAACACTGTTCTCATTTAAACACCACAGAAAGCTCCAGGTTAAATAATTTATTGAGAAGATCTTAGGTACTTTGGGAATGCAAGAAAAAAATCCTATTATAAACAGTACTTAGAACTTATGAAGTGCTCTGTATCTTCATAATATGCCTCAAACAAGTATGGAAGTATTGTGCACACTGTCCAAGTAAGGCCACTGAAATGGACCTCTTTAATGTAATATTAATAACGTAAGTATAAAAACAAACAGCAGCATGTACCTAAACAGACATTGTATACATAGCTAGCTTTGAACTCATAAGAAATAATGTATCAAGGCGGTGTAAAGCTGAAGTTCAGGCCCAGGCTAGAAGAATGTGTATCATAAGGGGACAATCAAGAGAGAACTCATAAATCTAGGGGAACCTGTTCAGTGGGCTCTAGATCAAGCCCCAGTTGAGAGGATAAAGCATATCTGAAAGAATTTTGATTTCATTGTTCACTTTTCCTTCTCTATTTTATCACTAACTAGCACAAGTTTCCCAGAGAAGCTGTAGCTGCCCATCCCTAACAGCGCTCAAGGTCAGGCTGGACAGGGCTTTGAGTAACCTAGTCTAGTGGAAGGTGTCCCTGGGGATGGAACTAGATGATCTTTAAGGTCTCTTCCAACCTAAACCATTCTGTGATTCTATGATTTTTTTTTCCCTATGTTTTAGTGATAGCCTCATTTTCCTTTTATTAATAATTTTTTATTTTCTGCAACTAAAAGGATCTTTACTTAGATCTATCCATCAATGGGTGAATTGCTGCCAACTTTGAGAAAAGATATAAAAATAATTAACCCCTTTAAATGTTACATCTTTTCAGAATTCAATCTCATCCTCATGGCTGTAAGAAAGTGGATCTCAAGACACAGTGTGGAATCCTGTGAGAAATCTCTAAATTAAGGATCAGTAAGAAAGAAGAGATGCACAGACTGCTTCCCCATGAAGTTCTTTTTTTTTGGAAGTGTTCTACTTGACTCCCTTCCTGTAGGAAACCAGAAATATAAATAACTCACAATTACTATGTTATCTGTTTGAAATTACATTTTTAACAGCAGGTTAAAAATTATTATTAAAACTTTAAAAGTTCTGTCTCCTACCCCAAAATACAGGAAACTTTAGGATTATTACCTGTCCACTCAGCTCTGTCAAAACAACTTAATTCCACAAACTTCCAGACTAGTTCACTGACTTCTTGGTACAACAGCACTCTCAGGGAACATACAGCTGTCATTTAGAAGTGTTTCCCAAAGTTTTGTTTGTACAGATTACCTTCTCCTGAGACACACAAGTGCTCTTCATGTTAAAAGTTCAAACCCTTTTGAAAGCCATGCTTGGTGGAGCGACACACAAGCCTCCCAGAAGAACTGAACGTTTGGTGTGAGGTCACATAAAAAAACACAGGCCCAGAGAGAACAGCAGGCATAGTCCCTCTGCTTCTTCAAGCTGACAGAGGAATAAGATTTGAATGTCCTCAGGGCCTTTCTCCATTACATATATTCAGAGAAGTTTATCATAAACAGTTCCACTGACAGTACAGTGCTAGCATCCCAGACTTTGTATTAGCAAAAAATGACTGCTGGAAAAAAGTATTCCTCCTGAACAACCAACTGACCCTTGAGTTTCCAAAAAATGTTGAATGGCAGTAGAAACTCACTTGACTCCCACCGTACTTGATGATTTGCTAGCAAAATTCAACAGCTAGTCCATAATATACACATTGTCCTCCAAACAATGTGTTTCCACATTAAAAATAACTAAATATCATTATCCCAGTGGATGGGTATGAAAAATTGTTCCTGACTACTGTCTTTTATGGAAGTCAACACTCTATCATACCTGAGTGGTGACCTATACCTACTGATCTTGTCCCAGACATAGAAACTAATCTGTGACTTTGTACCATCCCTGGAACACTGTGATTCCTATTTAAAATAATAATTTAGGTCCTACTCTAAAAAAATATATGGGGAGTAGGAAAGTCAAAATGCTGGAATCATGACCACTTTAAATCATGGTTTTGCCAGATTCAGAACCAAACCTCTGCAGTAAGGGTTAAGTGCAGTCTGTTTACCTCATTCAAACAACATCTAGTCTGCAGTGACCATTCCTTGGGAAATTAGGGATTCCCTCACATCTGTAACAAATTACGTGGAGCAGTACAGCTCATCCTTAAAGTTCATTTGATAGTGATTGTAATACATGCCTTAAGGTTAGGATGCAGCGCTTAACTCAATCACTTGATTACACACAGAATTTCAACTTCTGTAGAAGCCAGGCTGTATATTAAAATTCTGGGATTGAGGACAACTCACCTGGAGGTCAGGGCCATTATTGTTCATATCTCACCTCAGGCAGACCACATTCATACAGAGAATACCACTACCTAATGGGGAAACATACAATAGACCAAAAGAAGTTTTTGATTAAAGCTGTCCCAGAACAGATGGTTCCAGCATCTGCTATTGTGTCTCCTTATCCTGGGTTATTTATTTTTTTTTTTTAAATATGGTTCGGCCTTAAGTTCAGTCAAAGTTCATCTGGCATCCACATCAGTTTACATCTTTATCCAAGGATCTTCTTTGTTCATGCATCTTCAGTCAAACGAAATAAATTATTCACACATTGCCACCTGTGTGTGAACCTACCACCTACTTAGATTTATTTCTCACTAAATGGACTCTTCAGCTCTAGGTTTAGAAGAACGTACATGGTCCAATCTGTTTTTGACGACACTGCTGCCAAAATAGCTGTCAGCCTGCAGAACCAGGGAGACCCAAAACCTGATCGTTTGACAGTGCTCCATGTGGATAAAGTATTTTCATGGCCACATCGTAAACTCCTAGCCAAGCTGGGTTCTATGTTCCATTTTAATTACAGTGATGTTGAGCACCAATTTTTAGTTAAAGGTTGACTATTGTAAATAAACTAAGATCCACATGGTTGAGATTTGTTGTGCATCACGGGGGTGTGAGGGAAGAGAAGCAGGCCAAACGCAATCACTTCAATGAGGGGTTCCCAAAGAACAGCCTCTGTAAGAATTAACTGTTTACAAAATCACCTGCTTCTTCCAACTTTTTCTGTGCATGACTGGGACTCAGACTATAGCTTTAATTCACTCCAGACTTATTTCATTCGGTCAGAATTTAGGCCGCCAACCCAATGCTTCCAATGCCCGTTTGGGGACGCAAGATAGAAAAAGTTACTAAGGGTAAACTTTGTAACTCAGCCTAGTGGAGGCTAAACAGACACTTCAAAGAGATGGTATTACGTACACATTGCACTGGCACAAAAAAGACACCACAGAAGTGCAATTAAGCCTGCAGAAGCATGTGTGATGCCAGAAATGTGGGGCAGCTTTCAGCACCATTATGAAGTCACTTAAAAGGCCAAAATGACTGATTTTTAGCACACTGTTAGCATGCATCTGGGAATGACTGTTAGGTATACTGGTACTTTCCTCCATATGCCAGAGCACTCAATAGTTCTGCAAACAATTTTTCGAGGAACGTATATATTTGAGATTAACTCCCCAGTTTCTGAAAGATAAATTATGCTACTGAATTAAATATATATTTCTGAAAGCTACATTACACATATGAATTAGACACATGCTATTCTAGGACAATACATGACAATGGTTGCTGTCTCTATTTTCCACCTAAAAATGTTTATTTACCCTTTGGAAAGTAGCCTCAAATAGCCCAGTTCATATAGTACATATGCTATAGTTGCAGTTGTGCTATACATGGCACCTTAACATGTATTATATGAAAGCTACCACAAAGAATTTACCAAAGCTTCCATATCAAATATGAAATAACTTACACTGATTTATGTAACAAAGTAAAACGCACATGCAGTGCATCAACACAGAGAAAACCTGTGGAATTCTACTGGACATCCCCTCATCCAGCAGCTCAAAGCAGAGCTTCATGACCATTTAGTTTTAACACTGTCAGGCTACAGTTTCCATCCCCACACTTAGCAGGCAACAAAGAATACCAGGCACAAATATTTAGGTCCATTATTCAGTTCTGGCATGAACAATATCTTATTCAAAAAGACCTTTTTTCCTTTGGGAACTATTATAAGCATTTCAGAGTTCCCTTGATGATATCCTATACAAATTGTTCCTATAGCAAGCTAAGGATACTTCAAACACTGGAGCAAGGGATAGCATACACGTGGCTGGTAAACTGCAGTAGGGAGTGGATTACTACAGTGCCTGGTAGAAAAGAAAGATTTTCCCACAGCAGTTTCCTTTGTCTCTTTGTAACACACATAGAGACCCACTGATGAGGTGAATTACAGCAGGTAGTGAAAGTATGCAGACTATAGGCAAGAGGGCCTCTTGAGTCTTCATTCCCTCACAAAATGGCTTGCTTTAGCTGCCTTCTTAGCCTAGCCTATGTTGCAAAACTGAACACACGTAATTGAAGGTTTGTGTTAGTAGCTGACTTGATGTGCTAAAATAATCTGTAGTTCATATTCTCCAATGGGCCAATCAAGTGGAGTTAATACTGCTTTTGTACCCAGGTGGGACTCAGGTTTTTTTGAAGTCATGTTTAGAGAGCAGACGTATTAGTTTACAGTCCCAAATGGTCCAGGTGGCTTCAGCTGGTTTAGAGGATTTCTAAGAGCCATGGGGAACTCTGTGGTAGAGACATACCCTAAAAACCTGTCTGTGACTGTCTGGGCACCTATTTTCCCATAAAAAATATCCTAACAAGTCCTGTTCATTCATGTTATACCAGCTTTCACACCTCGTATTTGTGGTATGCAAAGACAAGCAACATGTTATTCTCAACCCCATGAAGTGATGTGGGCTATAGTATATGGCAGATAGAACCAACTTGAAATGTCCTGACAAAACTGAAAAAAATCTGTTACATCACAAACAGAAATATAAGCAAAAAATATAATGGTTTTACAAACTTCTGACTAACCACAAGATGCTTTAATGAAGCCAGTCCAGCAGTTTTCCTTCCTCATTACCAGAGGAGTTGCCACAGCGAATGGACGTGCAGTTCCCAGCTGTGGGGAACTCCTGCCATAAAGACTGTCCCAGAGTCAGGGTTTCCTGATATTCCAGTTCTCTGCCTTGAAGCCACAGGAACCCTAGCCCCAGTGATGCAGCAGAGAGCCAGAAAAAACTCTCAGCTTCACTTCTAATGGGACTCTCAGGACAGTCAGACTTTCACCCAGAAAAAGCCAGAAGCACAGGAGCCCAGACTGCCAAACCCTGAGAATCCTGCCCAAGCCCTCATTCCAAATTTCCAGATTCCTCTGTCCATCTAGCTGACAGAAAACAGGGAGATGGGACCTTTAAGTTTCAAGCAGCCATAACTGAGGCAGAAGCCTCAGAGTTTAGACTCTGAAGCTCAGTTTTGTTTCAAAGTAGTTTAAATGAACTGACTACTTTAGACAGATTTTTCTTCTCTTGCTAAATGAAACAGACAAGATTGAAAATGAGGTTTTTTGGGTTTTTTGGGTTTTTTTTTTGTTTGTTTGTTTTTTTTTCCCCAGAATTGAATCTGGAAATGGATTCAATCTGGAGTGCTCTCATTTTGAACATCTACAGTGGAGAATCTGGGACTGAGTGTTTCTCACTGGTCTGCGACATAGAGTGACCCCAACAAGAAAACAAAATCATAGAATCATGGAATATCTAGGATTGGAAGAGACTGATGAGGATCACCAAGTCTGACTCCCTGCTCCTTGCAGGACTACCTAAACCTAAGCAATAAAACAGAATCATTGGTTTCACAACACATCCCACAATTTAGTGAGAGAGCTACAAATAGCAAGTACATTGTTACAAGGTATTCAGTGAAAAGTGTAGGAGCAGTGATAAGGAAAGGCTCCACTCTCATTTCATCTGACAAGAAAGTGGGTCTGAAACAAACTAAATGGCAAAGACAAAAGCATTTTTCGGAAGTTCAACTGAAATGCTGGCTAAAACAAAAGCAAAGCCACTCTCCCAAGAAGCTGAAGCCCACCTGCTTCACCTAGTGAAATGTCCCTGATACAGAGGGGTGATCTTCCCACACTAGTGTCTTAAATACAATTTCCCAGATGCAGATCAAGGTGAGTGTTGGTTTGTCCCCTGGCAACATTCCTCCTCATGGCATGCCAGACATTTGCTATCAGTGTAGAAAGATTGAATTTAGCCTTGACATTATCGCTGAGAAGACACATCTCACACTTCATGGGCTTCATTGTCAAAGTGAGGTGATCACAAGTGAAGTTTTTCTGTGAATCAGGAACATGCAAATACGTGCTGTCAGACAACATCTGTTGGGAGTTTAGGAATAACTGGATGCTACTGCTTGCTTCTAACAAACCTGATGCCAGGAAATCATTTTGCCCAGCTTCTGCTCTTATCTGCAAACTCACGATAACTGTATTTCCCCAAACTGACACTAGCTGCTACACGTTTCCTCTTCTGTTCTAAGTACTGAGGAATTCACCGACTTTAAACATTAAAGCAACTAAATCCCCTTGCAAAATATGTATGACTGCCTGACAACATAAAATAATCTAAGAAATAGTAAGTTCAAGTGCATGCCACAATCAGCCTTCTACCCTCTGAAGGGAGGGTATTCTGACACATTCAATACACACAATACAGGTACCATGACATATCATGCTATAGATAATAATACAGATAATGAGGGTTATGGCATAAGTAAGCGGAGTTTGATTGTCTCCTAGGCAAAACTAGAAGAAAATCTAGCTACATTCAAACACTGTAGCAGCAATAGCTTCCTTTTTTAAAACTTTCTAACCCTTTCACACATAATGGCACCGTGGCCCAAAGATTCTCATCTATAGCCTTCATACTGTGAACAAATTACAGAATGTATTCAGCTCACACCATTACCATGTTTAATCATTTCTAAGTAATGAGCTTTATATGACAGAATCCAGGTTGCCTTAAAAGACTGATGTGTTTATTAACCATATTTCCTATGTATATGTTTTTACTTTAGAAGTATTCCCTTATCTCTGTTTATCAAAGGCTGGAAGTCTCCTGAAGTTGACACTCTGAACTAGCATGTACTAATACTGACCTTAACCTTGTATTATTAAAAAAGGTTCATAAAAAATACCCTGTATCAACCAGCTTGGAAAAAAAAAAAAACACCAACAACTTTGTTAAAGAAGCCATCATGTACTTTGAAAGCGTGGAAAGGAACATAAGATTAAATCAGATCTTCCTGCACAAAACTGCAAGAATCAGCCATTTCTATTCAGAGGTTTTAAAGAACATTCAACCTTCCTCAAGTCTTGCTTATACATCTTTATATCACCCTATCACTACATAGCTTGAAGTTTTGAGCACTTCATATTACACAAGGTCAACAGTACATTCCACTGAATTTCTGGGAAATGTTGCCCATCACAGATCTGTGTAAAATTTCTGTGTAGAAACTGACCTTCACAAACTGTCAGCTCTTTCTTAGTCTGGCAACCTGATCTAAATCCCATTTTGGGAAATCATTCTCTATTTAATTAATACACCTCAAACTCACCTCCTCTGAGAACTGGTACAGGTATACATAGAAAGAGATATTCATGCAGGCAGCACTTGAAGGAGGAAGAAAGGTTATTTACTAATAGCTGTACTACTTTGATCATACAGATTTATATTCCTCACTTCCTCTCTCCTTCAGCAAGACGGGAACTGAGAGGACTGGGCCACAATTGCTTAACAGAAATTTTCATTTGTTTTTTCAAGAGGGTATCTGCCCCACAGCCATGTCTTTCCACTGAGTTTCAGTTTCCCTACTCTGGTAAGGGAGATGCAGAGCAGAATTATGCAATCTACTTGAAAGTACGAGCACCTGCCTACACAAGGAAAGAGGCACACAGACCCTCCAGCTGTGTCCTCGTGCTACCACTATTCTGCCAGTGTAACCCTTTGTAAGGAGTCTGCTTGGGAATAAAAGTGGCTTTATTCTGATATGCCATTCTGCTTTATACCAGAATCACTTTTATTTCAGAATCACCTATGTAATAATACACAGTCACAAAAGTGGCATAGCTGTTGTAAACTAACTTTATTGCTACAGTTCTGCCAGTCAGGTTCTCACGGAACAAGTTCACATGTTGCAGAGCACTATTTTTCATCTAAGACTACAAAGCAGGAAGCTGTATCACGAGCG